AAGCGGCCTCGTTTTATTTCCGCCGCCTTCCACCGAGGAAGAGATGGCAACGCCTTCGATCGTCGAAGGCGAGGCCATGTCTAGAACGCCTATATACACACCACCACCATCGGCGGACCGATGACAGTGGACCACCACCACCACACCACCAGCACCAGCGGACACGATGCCAGCGAATCCAGCCGAAAACGCGATCAAAGAAATCATCGTTCAAGAAACCTGGGGCAACTTCCTGGAGGTTTCTTCAAACAGACCCGGCCCGAGCTCTGCTGTCATGTAGCGCCGGAGGGGCGAACGGGCTCCAGAAACTGGGCCAGCTTTCTGGCAGATTGGTAAAGAAACGCTGGCCCAGCTCTTCGTGAGGAGGCTTCTTAACCCGATGCTCGGCTGTAGCCCAGGTCCGAGGGCGCCGACGGTTCATGTCTTCGGCAAGGCTCCTGGAGGGACACGTGTAACGCCTGCCCCCAGGCTACTCGCCCGTACCGTCGCCTCCGATGAATCGGCGCTAGGCCCCCCCGCTGGCGGCGCCTCGGCCTCCCGGACGGGGTCGGAGCAGACGGGGAGGATCGCGCCGCAACGCCGATGCATCGGCGATTCGGGTCGATGTGGAGCCTGGTTTTCTTCACGCCGACGGCGCCGATTCATCGCCGAAGTCGCCCCTGGCGCGCTTCGAGCGCCAGGAAGCGCCTTCGCAAGTAGGGCGGAATTGTCTGCCCTACTTTTCAAGCTCATTTGATGCCGATTTCCGCCCTACTCTGAGGTCGCTCTGTCTGGCATGCCTTTGCGGAAATATCCGCGCAAGTTGCGGAGATTTCCGCCCTGCGTTTTCGCATTGTTGGGGGCGCATTTCCGATACCACTTGGCATCGGAGCATCCACCACAGTACGGCGGATCCGAAGTCAGGGCCGCTCCGCTGCCGCGGGCGCAGTCGCTGTGCTGCACCGGCACTGCTGGGGGCCTGGCGAGGGCCCCTGGAGACCGAAAAAAGCGAAAAACCTCCCGTCGTGACTCTTCCACAACGCGAGAGGGTGCTGGTCATTCTCCCCCCCCTCTCTCCCTGTGGTGCCAGACCGTGCGGTGCCCTCGAGGCATCCCGACGGGCCTCACCGCACGGCCCGCCACCGCACGGCTGGCGGGGACGCGCGGAGGCCCCGAGCGCCCAAGATGTCCCTCGGAGAGCGGCCCGAGCCCCGAGAGCGTGCGGCCACCGCGAAAATCCCCACTGGACCCTGTGCTGATCGGCGAAGCCAGGACCGGGAGAACATCGGGCAGGAACGAGGCGGGGATCCCCGAGATCTCTCGCTGCTCTGGACGTAGCGGGGCCGCTGCCGTTCCACGGCGCTGCAAATGCGCTCCAAGAGTGTTCCAGAACGCTCAGGAGCGGCTTGTCGCGGCCCCCATGGGTCCGACCCGTTGAATCTTCAATCTACGGGGTCCCCGGAAGTCCTGACCCGTTCCCTGGGGCCGGCTTCCCATCCCGACTCGCTTCTTGACCTTCCTGGGGCTTGGCGATGGCCCCCAGGAGCCGAAAATGATTGAAAACCTCCCCCTAGATTTTTCGATAGGAGGCGACATGCGAATCCTATCCTCGCCAACCATAGATTATCTTGAATCCATAGGGGGCGGGGGTAGGGTTCGGATTTCGCCGCGTCTTCGACGAATTCCGAACCCTACCCCCGCTGCCCATCGAGTTGCCTGACTCGTCGATCGGCGAGGGTAGAGTCCACTTTTCGCCGCCGATTCAACACTTTGGAGGTCTGGGTCCCAGTCCCGCCCGATGTGCTGCACGGGCATCGGCGCTGCAGGCTGGGCCGCGAGGGCGCTGGGCTGCCACATGGGGAGGGGCCCAAGGCCATGGCGGGCTGCTCATCGGGGCACGTCTGGAGAGCGGCGCAGCGGCCGAGGCTGAGGCAAGGCCCTGGACCTGATTCGAAATAGACGCCCATGCCCCGTACCATGCACGGACTTCTGTCCGGCCCCGCTCCAACGCGGTACGGTGCACAGCTTTTCGGCACCGAGGGCAGTAAACTGTGCAGCGTGCCCTTCCTGGGTCGACGATGATCGACGACGCCTCGGGGGACGCCAGCGCAGTACGGTGCACGCGAGTCGCCCGCGGGCCTGAGGAACATCTAGTTCACCCCAAGGGGCGCGAAGATGACCACGCTTCGTGCGTCGCGGCCGGGCCCGCCGAGATGGCCTTCTCCAGCGGGCGGCCCGCAGGCGCCAAGACACATGCGCTTCGCGCACCGCGGGACGCGATGCGCGAGCGCAGGTGGCAAAGGACAGCCCTAAGATCCGGGCGCCGTATTTTTTGCAACGTGCGACTTCGTCAAAATTCGACCCACAGGACCCTCACTGACCGATCGGCTGGAGAACTGTCGTGGAAAGACTGCGTCCAGAGCTCTGGTCGTGATTTGTCGCGATGTTGCAATTTTTCCGCAACGCCGGATCTCAGGGGGGAATGGCCGCGGCAGAGCCACACGAGCGACGAGTTGAACGTACCCACATCCGCGCCCTCGCGGTCTGGATTCGCGATCCTGCGGACACGCTATCGCGTGCATATCTACGCCCCGCGCGGTGCATCAACGAAAAAGCGCCCCCTGTCCACTGGGCCGCGGGCCGGGAGCCCAGCCCGTGAGAAGCCTGGCCCGCGAGGCCGTGGAGACGGCGGTGCGTTCCGCCTACGAAGGCTGGCGCACAGCAGACTTCAGCCGCGGCGCACTCCCAAGCGCCCTCGGGCCACAGCACAGCTCGCCCGAGTTGGCTTTCCGCTTGCACGGGTGCCCCCCTCCGTCCCACAGCAGACTCTGGGGTGATATCGTGCTATGACTCAGGCTTGCCCCTCGTCCTGCCCCACTCAGAACCCCCACGGGGTCTATGAGGGCCTCTATCCTCCTCCTCCTCCTCCCCCTCCTCCCCCTCCTCCTCCTCCTTCTCCTCTTCCTCCTCCCAGATAGCACTGCACGGATCGAGGACGGCTCCTTTTCAAACGAACACGGCAGGCTCCCGATTAGGGGTATTCCTTCTTCCTGCAAAGCAATGGAATGTAAAGCATCGCTTGACATCCATTTACACTGTTTGTCATTTCGTGGCGTTGCTTGTCATTGCCTGGAATCGTTGCCTGGCATCGCGTGCCTGGCATGGCTTGGAATTGTTTGGTATTGCTTTGGATTATTTGACATTGCTTGTCAGTGATTGGCACTGGTTGGCACTGCTTGGCGTTGCTTAGCATTGCTTGGCCTTGCTTTGCATTGGTTGACGTTGCTTCGCATTGCTCGGCATTGGTTGACATTGCTCCACGTTGCGCTGTATTGCTTGGCATTGCGTAGCATTGCTTGCCGTTGCGTGGCATTGCTTGGCGCTGCTTTGCATTGCTCGGCATTGTTTGGCATTGCTTGCCTGGCGACGCTTGGCATTGCCTCGCACTTGTGGGCATTGCTTGGCACTGCTTTGCATTGCCTTTCGTTGCTTGGCATCGCTTTGCCTTGCTTGGTGTTTGCTTGGCACTGCTTCGGACGTCTGGGCATAGCAAAGACAGCCCCGGGCAACCCAAAGCAACACTGGGCAACCCCGAGAAACGCCAGCCGGGAAGGTTCCCAAACGGTAAGCAGCCCCGCACGCGCGGTAAACAGGGAAGGTACCCTCAGGTAAAGCCTTATTGGGGAAATAACACTTACACGGATGGGGGGTGCCCTTCTTCGAAAGGGAGATCTCTTTGGACACCTCGCCGAATTATATGATCACAGCTTCTCGCGTTCCAGATTACGCGCCAGAAAATTCAACGCATCTCCTCTTCCGAATGGTGCCCTCGCGTAAATGGCAGGCCGACGTGGTGCTGTTTTCTTACGGGTGGAGCTTCTTGTAGGACAAAGAAAACCCGAACATCTGGTAGAACGTGTGGGAAAGGGACTTGGAATGGAAGGGTGCAGTGCAACATCGATGATACATCCTGGGTTTACTCTGGTCCTCCTCCTCCTCCTCCTCATCCTCCTTGTCCTCCTCCTCGTCATCTTCATTGTCCTCGTCCTTATCATCATCCGCCTCTGCCCTGTCCTTCCTTGCCTTTCCGATCGTCATAGCCCAAGACAATACTGAACCTCCTCCTCCTCCTCCTCCTCCTCCTCCTCCTCCTCCTCCTCCTCCTCCCCTCTCCTCCTCCTCCTCCTCCTCCTCCTCCTCCTCCTCCTCCTCTTCCTCCTGCTCCTGCTCCTGCTCCTTCTCCTTCTACTATCTGCCTACTCTTCTTCCTCTCTTCTACCCACTGTGGAAAGTCGCCTGCTTCGGGCCCAAGAGCTTGCGGGCGTCCCCCGCGTACGGCTCGTCAGGGCCTCGGGCGGGGAGGAGGCGGAAAAGGAAGGAAATCAGGAGGATAAACAAGGAAGGGGGGAATAGGATGAGGGGAAGGAAAAGAAGGAGGGGGAGGGGGATGGGGGAGGGGGAAGGAGCGGACAAATAGGAAGAAAAGAGGCGGGAGGAGGAGGAGCAGCAGCAGCAAGACGAGGAGGGGACATGGGAGGAGAATGAGGATGAAGAGGAGGAGAGGGAGGGGGAGGAGAAGGACGGAACGTAAAAGGATAAAGGAGAAGGAGGATGAGCAGCAGGACGTGGGTACATCAGAGGAGGGATGAGGACGAGGACGGGGAGGCGGAGGAGGCGGAGGAGGAGGAGGAGGAGGAGGAGGAGGTGGAACAGTAAAAAACGTAGCAGCACCACGAGTAGTATGAGTAGTATTTCTTCCATCGGAGCTTGCCTCTGTAGGGGTCCTAGCGGATTAATATGGTTAGGTGAGGTGGGTCGCCGATTTCGGTGGCTGGCCCGGGTGCCCGGGTGCCCAGGTGCGGGGGTGTCCAGGGGTGCCCGGGTGCCCAGGTGCCCGGGTGCCCTCAGGGCCGCAGCGGGTGATGTGGGCAGCAGATGACAGCAGGGCATGTCCCAGCCAACGAGGAGGTGGACGAGCAGAGGGGGGTGGGCGAAGAGGGAAGATGGAGGAAGAAGGTGTGGGGCGGGACCGTTTGCGACGTCTTCCTCACGGCCCCCTCGCAGCTCTGCTGTCGCAGTGCCCACAGAGAACCCACAACACAAGCTGTAGCGACCAGCGCTTCCAGCACAAGCTCGGCATGCACGCATGCGTGCCAACAATTACTGTGTCAGATCCTGCCATGAACTGCGCGCGCAGCTCCCAATCTCCAATCTGCACTGTGCAGTCCGATATGATGGCCTGCTGCATAGTGGTCTACAGCATGCAAGGATATTGACAAATATCTGGACGATTGAAACGGTGGATAGTTGACATGCCTTGGAAGGTGCTTATAAACATCTGGTCTGCGCCGTTCTCCAATGTTGCTAGTTACTCCCCGTCAAGCCCGAAAAACATGTCAGGGACTGGGCGCTTCAGACAGAGCTGACAGCGCACTTCAAGAACCTCTCGTTGAGCTTCTCCCTGTCGAGCTTCCGACCGATTAGGACCACCTGTGTACTCACTGGCCTATCTCGAGGCCAAGCGCCTGAAAATGACACCTCCATCATGTCGTGGACACCCTGGATCACGTAGCGCACTGTGTGCCCTTCCTGCTCCACCGCCAGCACACCCTTGTACCGGTACAGATCCACGGACTGCTCGTCCAAGAGCTTGTTCACAAAGGCGTTGAATTTGTTCACACACAGCGCTGACCCAGCCATCTCGAGCACCATCGTGCCGATATCTGTGTCGTGGCGGGATGCTGTGGCTGGCGTAGAAAAGCCCGCATTCCGAATCCATCCAGGCAAATTCTCGTCGGGGCACCCGACAGAATACGGATCTGCACAGTCCGCCCTGTCAGCGACCACTGGTCTGAGGACCTCGTCGAAATCCCTGCCGTCTTCGAGCAGCTTGGTAGCGTCGAAGGCATCGATGGCAAGCAGCTCTTCGATGGGGACCTCGTCCGGCCTCTTGGCTATGCTGCACTTCCGGATGGGCGCCAAGTTGTTGATGCGGCGGATGGCGGCGGCAGTCTCCTTCGAGTAGGGGATCGACTATAGAATTGATTGACCCTAGAATTAACTGTTTTCCGTCGAATGTACGAGCCATGCGCAGAATGCTTCGTGGGTCTATGCGCATCCTTCGTATTTTTTCGTAGCCTCGACGAAACAAATGATTTTCGGGGTAAATCAATTATGCAGTCGATCCCCTACTCGACTCCTCGACGAGGGAGTCGTCCACCGCGTCCACCTTGTTGAGGAGAATCTTGTCGGCGAACGCGATCTGCTGCGCAGACTCGTTCACCGCACCTGGGGAGCGCTCCCTGTCCAGCTGCTCCAGGAAGTGCCTCGCGTCGACCATTGTGAGGACTCCGTCGATCTTGCAATGCCTCTCGAGGAAGCACCAACGTACGGTGTGGGTATTGGATAAGGAAACATTGAGTAAGGAATCCGAGGCCTGGAAGCTGGTGGAACTCCAATCGTGGATCGACCATCGATGTCGCCGCCGCCCTCATCAGACAAGGAATCCTCCAGGGTCTGCAGCCTCATGGGCACATTCCTTCGCGAACGCCCCCACCGTAAACTTCCGGAACTCCGCACGGAGTTCTTGGATCGGCGGCGGGCCCCCCTGGCGGCTCCAGAGGCGCCGCCCCTAGCGCGCTCCGCGCGCTAGGCAGGGAGGTCCATCGCCGCTTGAGGGAATCCGCGCGGAATCCACTTCTTCTTCGTCGAGCCTCTGCACCACCGGGTCGGACCCGAACGTCTTGCAGATGGGCCCCGGGTCTGCCATGCCGGTGGTCTCTATCAAGATTCCATCGAGCATCGCGTTCGGCACGCCTTCCAGGATCCTGTCCTCGACGGTGTTAATAATCTCCCTAATAGCGACTGCGAGGTCGTCGCGCAGCGTGCAGCAGAGACACCCGTTGTCAAGGACAGTAATGGACTCCACGGTTTCCTTCTTGCCCACGTCTTGGTCCAGCAACATCTCATCGATGGGAACCTCTCCGAATTCGTTCTCGATTACTGCGTATCTTTTACCTACCTGGTTGTCCAAGATATAATTGAGCAAGGTAGTCTTACCAGCACCGAGGAAGCCGGTGAGCACTGTCACTGGAATCTTGCCATACGCGTTGATGCCCTGGGCGGCCCGGATGCAGTCGTCCTCATCGGCTGGCGCGTAGATGGTGCTGCCGTTGTCCAGCTTGACCTGATACGGCGTGACTTCATCCTCTGGCCAGCCAGGCTCCGTGTACCAGTGCCTCACCACCACGCCGAGGAGCCAGTCTCCGCAGTTGCATTCGACGCGAGCGCCCACGGCGAACCGGAGCGGTGGCCGCTCCAGCGCCGCCGCCTGCGTCGGGTGCGCCGACAAGGAACGCTGGCAAAGGAACGACGAGTCTGTTCTGGCCACGGCAAGCCTCGGCCATAGGTTCCCCGACCGAGATCTCAAGGAGCAGCCCGAAAATCAGATACCCTCCTGAACCCGAGGTGGTCCTTATGCCCTTATGTCAGCATCTTGGCAGTATGGGGTTACCGAATCATAACGCGAGGCAGGTGCGCGGCCGACGGGGGGCCGTGCAACGTACTGGATAAAAAACATCAATAGCAAGTGTATGGGAAGAGAAACAATAACTATAATATAAGTGACGACAATCATAACAATATCAATAATACAACTCACAAACATGACACTACTCATATTATTACTTATGATACTACTCATACTGCTTATACGAGTACTAAGAATATGATTAAGAATGGCACTACTAACTCGGAGAACAAGCATAATGTTAGTAAAACGCAGCATCAT